AATAGAATTACACACTACAGATATTTGCTTGCACTTTTATTGATTTCAATAATAAATTACCTAAGTACTATAAAGTCTTGGAAGGCTTTGTGCAGAGTGCTTGTCATCATTCAACTTTCCTGGAAGACGGGTATGCTTAGACGCGTTGTTTGTTGCTTCTGGATAGCTCCATTCATGCAATCTTCAAGTTTCTCTGTACTAAGTCAACTAGCTTCCTAAAATGTGTAATAAAGCTGTTAAGGACTGGCTTATATTGGTATGATTTTAGCTAATTTAAATCCCTTTGTAAGAGAGGGAACTCATGCTTAGGTGATGTGTTGTGTCCCCTTTTGCAGACAGAGACACTGTGTGATCAGTACCTGGCTGAACCAGAAGCTGGTAAAGGATCTCCAAGTCCCATTGATTATCATAGCAATGTGGTACAATTCTGGGCTGCAAATATGAAGCTGGCTTTAACTGGTCCGGGTTGTTTAGTACAGAAATCTCTTGCCTATGTTATGCGAAAATGGAATTTAACTTGCATATTCATGTTATTAGCTCAAATTATATCTCAGAAACAGGGAATTAGGAATTCATTACTCTAGAGGAGCCAAATCCTGATGTCCTAAAAGCTGTCATGCTTCTTCTGGTCATTTGTGTTCCCTGATGCTTATACAGTCCAATGCTTTCTATTTACATACCTGTTATTATTACAATTTAAGCCTTACTTTTATAGCTCCCTAGTTTAAGTAGTGGGGCTGGCTTTTTTAATTTAATAAAAAATTATGTAGAGGGAAATAATGGTTGCGCAAAATAGCAAAGCAGCATGCCCACATACAAAGAAATAGCTAGCCTACGAAACTTTTTGAAAATCTTTCTCTCTTTACTGTCATGCTTCACAAGCTCTCCAAAGGCATAATGAGGAACAAAGACCTCTCTTTGCTGTGTCTCTCTATTTTTTTTCTCTGCATAACATGCCATTTTCAGATGTGGACATAGAAAATGAAGCTATTTTCACTGTGTTGTCCCTGATGACCTAGTGTTTATTCAACTACTTATATCTTGTTGGCCAAGATAAATTTCACCTGAGGCCAGCATCTGCTCGGTAATTTGTCACCTTTTCTTTTTCATGCCCCTAAGCTGTTTTGACAGGAGAGGCTTTGCAAGCTCCATCTCAGGAAGCACCACCAGCAATATAAAATGCAAGGAAAACAATGTAAACCGAAGCTTTGTGAAAATAAAGTTGTGTAATATGGCACTGGTTAGTGGCTGGATGACAGCCATCCTTGATGGCATAAATTTAGTGGCATGCGTAACTGCAAAGAACAAAGGAGTTAATCAGCAATAATACCGTATATAAGAAGCCATACTGTGTGCAAATACCTATTAAAGTTGTTACCATGAAGAACTTCTATTACTCATTTTAGATTCATTTTCTGTTTTTAAGTGGCAGGGAAACTGAGAAATGCATCTGACACTCAAATAATTGCCCTGGTTGCAACACTTGCAGCTTTTTACAGAGAAGAAAATAGCATCCAGATGATAAATAAAAACAACTCCTCCTCACATTAATGAAGCACACAATAATAAATTATGCTGCTTCACTTCTGTTGTCTATTCTTAATTTACAGTATGACATGGCAATGCATTTTTTTTCTTCTCAGCTTTATAGAACTTATTAAAGATGTGGGAGACTTTTCTAGTAATCGTTAGCAGGATACAGCTTGTACTTTGCCTTTAAGGTACTTTGTTCTAACTTTGGTACCCCTGCACTGCAGAGAATTACAGTGTTCTGTCGTTACAAAGTGAATTGGGAGCTCTTCAATGTATCCTGCATCCTGCTGTACTGCCGATGTGCGCTGGTGTGTACCAGAGAAGTGGAGACAGTGCAAGGTAGCAGACGAGTTGTGTCTTCAAAGCATATAAGATGTGGTGGTCTGGAAACCCAGCCTTACAACAAAGGTCAGGTCTCAGTGTTCTCTCAGTTAATATCTTGGGGTTTGGTGTTACCTTTTTTTTTCCTTTCCTGAAGGCAGCAGTCCAGGATACATACTGCCTTGCATTTGTTCATGACTGGTTTTGTACAGGTTCAGTTCTGAACACCAGTTCTCTGTAATATGACAGCTGATAGGCTAAAGATCTCTTCCTCCACTTTCCAGTTTTCTGTACCTGTTTGCAGATGGACAATTTCCTTTTGTCCAGTAAAGCTCAGTAGAAGCACTGTAAATGCTACCCTCTAGTCCTTGTGTCAGTGTTTTCAGAGTTTCATCCAGCCAACTGGAGGCTTTTTTTTCCACAGATGGAAGATAAGCTAGTAGGAACAGATGACTGCTTAGATTAGTAACATGAGCATGGTCCTGTGATGTGCGCAGCAGTTTTGTGGCACAGTGGCTAATGTACTGCTTTCCTTTTTACATGGGCAAAGTATGCACCTTTCTTTGTGGGACTCTTGTGTTTGCAAATGTAAGAGTGCCAGTCCTTTTGCTTGCAGTCCCTTTAAATGCTCTCTCTGCCTGCTCTCGGTGTGCTAAGCAGAGGTTATCTCAGCAATGTGCAGCAGGATGGCCTGTGGGCCTGCAGTAGTTGTTCATGAGGGTATGGCCCAAAGTTGCCCCTGCAGAGAGGGAGGTCAATGTGTGTGCATATGCCAAGAAACTGAGCTCTCATTTCCTCTGGAAAAGGTGGATCCAGTTTCTTGCTCCTCTCAACCCCATTTTGGGTTTATCTTTGTAATTTATAATGTCATCTTCATGCTTATTTTTAGTTTCTAACCTTTCTCTATTGAACTGTTTTTACATTTTAATTGGCTATATCAGGAGACTTGTAGCTGATTAATGTTTTTCCTCTGCAGCTGGATCATCTAGAACAGGCATAAACCTTTCCATGCCTCATTTACTTCCAGTTCCTTTTCAAACAGACATGCACTGTTCCTGGACCTTCCTGTCTTTCCTCACCTCCTGTCAGTGTCTGTTTTACCTCTCGCTGGATGAATTCATGTGCCAGCGGTGCATCTGCATGTCATGCTTTTATTCTTGCAGCCAGAAGTTATGTATGAACCCTTTCTGCATCATCAGTAATGACAGCAATACTCAGGTGACAGCTTTTGGCAGGTAGATTCTTACCTGAATTGTGGTAACAGTTTCAGTACTGCTTCCTGCTAAATAAGGGTCTTCAAAAAAGTCTAAGAAAACTGATTTCCATAGCTGAAACATTTGTTGAGCAGTGAGATAAGATGACTGTATTTTTTCTTTAATTTTTTTTCTGCATAGATGAAAAAGCCACTTAAGAGTCAGGCTCTTACAAACTAGCTCTTCCTACTCCTTTCCGTACTTTTTTTTCTGTACTCCTTTTTTTTATGGATGAAACAAAAGTCAGTTTTGATATGCTCTGCCTGTCATCCATCCCAAATACTAATGGTTTTATTGTCATAATTTCCATCTGTCTCAGCAGATCAAGATTAGAGATGATTTACTATGATTAGATATAGTTTAAATTATTAGAGATCATTTACTACTGGCAAATTGCATGTGGTTTCTTCAGAGGTATGAGGGCAACACAGTACCTTGTTCTACTTCATGCATTTGCACAAGACATGATTGTCAGCTGATGCGCTTATGATACACTTTTCAGGGTATGGGGATTTAAAGTTTGTGCACTGTCATGCCAGGTTGCTGGAGAAGTTCCTTCACATTGAACGAAACGATATGTTTATAATTTAGTGGAGGATTAGGTTTTAGGCTTTGCATTTGCATTTCAATTAAAAGAAAGTGTTGTTCTCTGTCTAAGACTGCATAGCTATAACCAACATTTCTGAAGCAGTTGCATTTGCTAATCCCGTGGGAAAGTGCCAAACTTGTCAGTTTTTATAAATTGCTGTCTTTATGACAGGAAACTGGGAGGGGAAGGGTCTTATATCTGAATGTAACAGCAAGGAGAAAACAGGGACGTAAGGACAGATATGTCCCCAAGTCACTATTCTCTATGGCGGAAGCAACGCCCAGAGCAAGCGTCTTACTGAAAGATTGGATGCAAGCCCTGAGAACTCTATAAGTATCCGGTAAATGTTTTGGCGGGGGAAGGAGAAGACCTCCTGGAGGACAATTAAAAACTTTTTTTGCTTTGTATTGTTTCTTTTCAGTGCTCTCTAAACATAGCAACTATTTTTATATCCTTCGTGGTGGTAATAAAAAGTGTTCTTTTAACTGAACACGTCATCCGTTGAGAATGATATGAGGATGAATGGCAAGCCATTGTCAACATGGTAGTGAGTCATAAATGGGGGATCAGTCGTGCTTGTAGCATCTGGCACCTCAGACGAGATTGGGGTTCCTAAAAGGTTTCAAGATGGTCCGTCCCTGAGCAGCACAGACTGGCATAAGAGCTTGTGATGCAGAATGTACCTCCTGGTTTAAGCGTCCATGATGGGACTGTGAGAAGGTGCCTAAACCTTACCTTCCACTGAGGTTGTATTCGGACTCACGGTTGACTTGCTGATGTGTATTATTGTTTAATATGACCAGGAGTATTGAGGCATGTGTCTGAAGGGTCATGCCAGTGCTTCCAATTGCCTTTGCTTATTCTATAAAGATGATAGGTTAAGGACTAAAGTTCAAGCCTGGTACAAAATTTTTAATGTGGTGCAAAAAAAAAAAAAGTTGTAAAAATACATAGTTTGTCTGAATACAGTAGTTTTAAAATTCAAAGCGCTATGAAATAAAATTTTTAAAATATTCTGAAGATTACATTGTACTTTTTGGTTTGTCATTTTTGGTTTTTACTTCTCGAAAACAGTTCTGTTATAATCTGTAATTGCAGTGGCCACAGCAAATACTTTGTTCTATGTGTTAAATAGCTTGATGAAATGGGAAAGAGAAATGGGCGTGACTTAGTCCTTTGGCAAGGCTTGTAAAGCTCAGATGTTCCTTATGCGGCAGGTGCTTTAACTGAATATTATGAATTGTTCTTGTAAAGCTCACTTTCTAATAGATGTCACACTTTTGTTTCCCCCTACTCTTTTGCAGCAAGTGACAGGCAGAAGTTTTGGTGAGAAGGATTTTCGTTCCGGATTAGAAAATGGCATTCTTCTGTGTGAGTAAGTAACCCTTACAGTTTTGAACCTTGAATATAATCATGACTATGTCCAATTGTTGCTTTCCTTTTGAGAGTTTTAACATTGTGCACACTGGTATTTCACTGCACTATCATATCAGTGCCAAAGCTGTTGTTATGGTGAGGACTGAAATGTGGCTTAAAGAATACAGGTTTTGTGAAGTGCTTCCCTCATTCCACCCCAGCTCCTTAGCTGAGTTATGTAAAGAAAAAATTCTGTTTGCTTTTTGGTTTCCTTTTATTAAAAGATTGTAACCACAGATTGGCAAATGATGTTCCACACCTGCCTGCAGATGTCTCTGCTACAGGGAGGCATTTTGGACCAACTCCAAGTCTGAACACTGTCAAGAGTTAGCCATCTGAATGCCATCAGTACACAGCTGCTTTTATAGTTTCTGGAAAGGTTAGGCATCCTCTAAATTTTACCTAAAGGTGTGTTTGAATTATGTGTTTTGTAATTTTTGGACAAGAAACACAAGTTAGCTTTTGCGTATTTCTCTCTGTGGTTTTAATAGTGAGTTTTTAGGCAGAGTCTTCCAAAACCATGCTATAGGCTTAGATGCCAAAGCTGGTGACTTTTAAGAGCAATTTGGAGATGTGCCCTGATGTTCTTAGTCCTTTGAAAATCAGGTTGTCAGGCATTTGGGAGAATCTGCTGGTCTGAATCACCTGTATGGACTGGTTGCTTTCCCTGGATATGCATGGTTGTCACTGAAGTTGATAAAAGCTGTCTTTGCACACCAGAAGGATGAAGCTTGTGCAGAGCTGAATTCATATTGAAATTCATAAGGGAGATCTTCTGAGACATTTAGCTGGACCATTGCAGCTATTGGATAAGTTCTATACTATGAAAGGTACTGAACTTGAAAACTGTTTCCAGCAGTAGAGTTGAGCTAATATCCTGTAACTCAACTCTAGGTAGCTTACCATAGATTTGAAACCTTCTTGTGGAAATACTGTTGTATATCTCACTAGTGTCATTAATCAGACAGCTTGAACTTTAGGTGTTAAAGGGGAAAAAATATAAATGAAATTATATGATTATTTTGATTGTAGTTGCGTGTCTTTGCTGAGGAGTGGTTTTAGGAGGAAGGGAGTAGTTGTTATTGTTGATCCAAAGTTGTGTAACTCAGAAGGATCATGTAGTTTACTTCTTTGTGTTTAAGGATTGCCTCTTGCACAAGATCTCTCTCCTCTGTGTGTTGAAGGGAAGTGCTGTGTGCTGAATCACTTCACAGTGCCCTTTCAATGTTAAGGTTGAATTGTGTTGTATGAAAAGCAAGGGATATGGATTTCAAGATTAGATTAAAATCTTATCTACAAGTAAACAGAGGCAGTCTGACTTAAATGCTGTAAATCTTTAAGATGGAATGCATAACTAACTAATGTTTTGCTAATGAAACTAATAAATATGTATTTCCTAGGAGGTCGTGAGCTCCAGTAATAAGCAGGTCAAGGGACAACACTTGGTTATACTACTAAATTGTTCTGTGATATTGGGCAAATTGCTTGTCCTCATGTACCACCTGTGGATCAGTGCAAATCAGCCTGAAGGGATCTATCTCCTCAACCTCAAATCTGAGAGGCTGTGATGTTTGTATTGTATCCCACTCTTTGTTGGTGAGCTATGGTTAGTGAGTAAAACTGTATTAGGCTACAGAGCATCGACCAAGGAGCTATCAGTTTGGCCTTCAAGTTTGGATTTCTGATGATGAACAAACCATGGCACCAGCAATAAAAGTGTGCTCCTCACTGGTTCATGTGTGAAATGGCACAGGGGAATCTCTATCTCTGTCTATAGCAGGATTGTTGGAGCCTTATGCACAGTAATGCCAGGCCCCCCTCCAATTGATCCCAATCTCTATGTCCTATACAGCCTACATACTCAAGCAGGTATCACTACACTGGTTATAAATGATTCATTCACATCTGGCAACAATCCATATATTTTAAGAAATGAAAATGAATACAACAGTGTAATGCCAAAAGCTCAGAGTGTTGGGATGAATGTGTTGTGGGCCACCATCCTGACTAGCAAAGCAGTCCTGGATGCGTATGCTTGCCACAGGCAACCACAAGCCTCGCACCTGGCTCTCTTGTAGTGGTTATGCTGTGGCTGGCATCTCAATCTGGCCTCACTATAACACTGTATAGTCATATATATAGTCATATATATGACATGCATTCAACTGAGGAGCTGAGGAGCATATTTCAACAGTGCAGAATGCCGTAAAGCAACAAGTCGACAGATGAGAGCAACACAAGCCTTTTCTTCTTTCTGGCTATTTAAAAGCCCACTTGTGTAGTTGCCCAGACAGTGCCGGCTCTAATTGTTCATCCAGCTGCGCTGAGAAGCCAGTGACTACGACTTCTGTTTGTCTGAAATGACTTCACGGTTTTTTAGCATAGCTGTCTGACCATCAGTGCAGATAGTGATTTCAGCAAGGAGCATCATAGTGAGGGGGAGGCAGTTCTTGCTCTGTTCTTGCTTTGTGTATTATATTCTTATACGCAAAGACTGAGGAGTTTCCTGCCTATGTTTCTGCATGGGTGGGCAAATGGGGTCATGGTGGAAAGCTACACGATGCAGTAATACAACACCAGTAGCAGGAAATATCACTGGAAATTTCATCCCCAATTTCTGCTCCAGCACATGTTCAATTCTTTTTTTTTTCCCTTGTTACATAGCTTTAACATTTAGGTTTGACCCAGATATCATAAGAAGCTAGAGGATGAATCAGGAATAAATTAGATCTGGTTGTTGCAATGCTTAGGTGTTCCTATTCTGTGGACTCAGGCATCTGAATGAAGGTTAATTGGAAAAGAAAAAGCATATGTTGCCTCTATCCACCTGGCCTGCTGGTTTGGGTGGTTCTGTTGGGTTTTTTGAAACAGCAGGTAGGGAAGTTGAAGTTGCTTTTCTTTCTAACTATGCACTACTACTAAGTTTAAAAACTATTAAAAAAAAAATCTTACATCTTCCTGCAGATTTGCCCAGTTGTTAAGTTGTTACTGTTCCAGTATCCTTGTACGTGCATTTTTAAGGTTTTCCCCTTCTTCCAACTGCCCACCTCCGCTTGTCCAGCTCTGCTACTGCAGAATTCCTTCCTTCATATTGGGCATTCAGCAGTTAAGAGAGGTCTCTGTAGGGATGTCACTTCAAAAATCTGAGTTAATTACTTGCTTTGATATTACTATCCAAGGGGGATATATATATCTCCAATATATCTGTAAGAACTTCTGACACATAATTTGGATGGTATTTTCTCTCAAGCTTTCTCTGGAATCTAGCAGTCCTGCCACCCTGAAAGTTTGTATTAGTGGTAATGAGATTCTTATGTCAGGAGTAGGACCAGACCATAAAGATGAATAACAACAACAGCAATTGGGATATGGATCCTGGGCAAAAGACCTTAAACAACAAACTCAAACTGAATCCAGTTTCAGAACTAGCAGAAATTATTTGGCTTTGCAGTGGACTCCAACAGCATCTTGACTGTGTATAATACCTTGGATTCTGTATGTAGAACAGTTTAGCTGCATGTCTGGTTTATGTATGTATGAAAATCAATTTACAGCAGTACATGCAGGCATAATAAATCTTTAATTTTTTGCAAGCATGAAAATTCTAACAAATATTTAACTGCGTACTTTGAGAAGTAATGGCATACACATATAAAAGTGAAAGAGGACCAACAGTATGTGGTTAAAGATGGATGTCACTTTCATATGCAGCACTGGATACCAACTTATGAGCACTTTCCCAAACTTTTCTTTGTTTCTTAGAGATACTTATTTTGTATATTAGCACATGGTCTTATGTAGCTTAGTAAGATGTGCAGAAACTATGCTTATTCTTTGAAACTGGGACTCTCTGACTGATAACTTTTTCGTTATTTTTTGAAAGAGCAGATACAAAGGTATTTTACTGTTTTTAAGTAAACATGGTAAAATTGGGTATGTACAGTAAACTAAGGAAAAAGTTTTACACCTTTTCTCATGCAGGACAGCATATAGGAATGGCAGTTCTCTTCAGCTGTTCATGTTAGGAATATATGCTCTTAAAAAGTACAAGAAAGTTTTTAGGTTTGACTTTTAAATAAAAAAAGAAGGTGAGAAGTTAGTCATGCACATAGATTATTTTATTAGTATTTAAAGAAAATGTGAAGTGTGGCCATAAATCTGAGTGAGCTGAAAGTGATTGTGATCAAGAATTACCTAATGGAATTTATCATTTACTCTATCATAAGAATAATTTTCTTCTATAAATAAGAAATTCCCTTAGCTTGTGTTCTTCCTGTCACTGGTGATGGATGAGCTGCTTTTCCTCACAGAGCAGTTTCTTTAGAAGTGCATCATCTAGTGCATCTGATGAAGCTTTGGGCTGACATGAATGCTGTTTTCAGCAAGGGCTGGATATGTGCCAGATCAGTACTAATGTAATGCTATGGAATGATAAATCTTTTGTGTTCTGAGTCAGTGATACTTAAAGGTATGGAGAGCGGCTTTCACTGTATATGTGGTGTTTCAGTTCTTCTTGCAAGTTAATGTCACTTACGTCATCTGGTAGGGGAAAATAAATAGTCATCTTTGTAGGATTTTTCAGATATATCATTCTACTTGTCTGTCAGTGGCAGGGGCCTGGCATCAGTTCAGCACTTGGCTGTGTAGTGTACAGTGGAGAAGTTAGTGGATGCCCTTGTGCTTAATTAGTGTTTTGCTTGACTTTCCTATTCCTGGAAACTAAGAAGGTATTTGAGTTTCATAGGCATATTTGAAGTGTTGGATGTGACCCATGCCTTGAGGTGAGAAGGAATTGGTGTTCTTCTGTGGTTTTAAGGCTCTGTGTTGTAAAGCCAAAACATTATCAGCATTGTGAATTTGGCATGTCTCCAGTTTTGAGAGACAGGCCCCAAGGCTCATTAAGCATTAAGATTTAGGTTCATGTGAGGACATTTGAAACAGTTTTATATGAATACAGGG